AGAATCTACTTTCAGGTTTGAAAAGTGCAAAGTTAGAAAACTGTGCTCATTGCTTGGCTACAAAACAAAATAGTCTCTTTCAAGAGCCATCCTCCCTCTAGGAAATTAGAGTTGCTTGAGTTGGTGCATTCAGACCTCTGTGGTCCGATGAAGACAAAACATTTGGTGGTGCACTTTATTTTATTACTTTTATTGATGATCATTCAATGAAACTTTGGGTTTATGTCTTGAAGAGTAAAGACTAGGTACTTGGTGTCTTTAAGTAGTTTCAGGCTTCTGTTGAGAGGGAAACAGGGAAGAAACTAAAATGTATTCGCATTGATAATGGTGGTGAATATTGTGGGCCATTTGATGAGTACTACAGGCAGCAGGGCATTAGACACCAGAAGACGCCCCCTAAGACTCCTCAGCTTAATCGCCTAGCAAAGAGGATGAACGGGACGTTGATGGAGAGAGTTAGATGTTTGCTTTCAGAAGCAAAGTTGCCTGGATCTTTTTGGGGTGAGGCTTTATATACTGCTGCACATGTTATTAATTTATCTCCTGTTGTTGCTTTGCAAGCTGATATTCCTGACAGGGTGTGGTACGGAAAAGATGTATCCTATGACCACTTACGTGTCTTTGGCTGTAAAGCATTTGTGCATGTGCCAAAAGATGAAAGGTCCAAGTTAGATGTCAAGACAAGACAATGTATCTTCATTGGCTATGGTCATGATGAATTTGGATATAGATTGTACGATCCAGTTGAAAAGAAGCTTGTAAGAAGTCGTGCTATTATTTTTATGGAGGATCAGACCATTGAGGATATTGATAAGGCGAAGAAATCAAAGTCTTCAAGTACTGATGGATTGGTTGATCTTAATCCAGTTCCTGAGACACATACGCCCAGTGTAGCTGAGTTTGGTAATCATGATGATGTCTAGAATCATATTCATGATGATTTGATTGAGGATAATGATGATGATGTTGCTGATGATATTGATGCTTCTGCCAGTAGTGCTATTGGTGAACCTGTTGCCCCACTTAGAATGTCTTCTAAACAGCATATTCCCTCTACTCGTTATTCTTCTAATGAATATGTGCTTCTCACTGATGGGGGAGAACCTGATTGCTACAAAGAAGCTATGGAGTCTGAGCACAAGAAAGAATGGGTTGTCGCTATGAATGATGAGATAAAATCTTTGGTTGACAACCATACTTTTGAACTGGTCAAGTTGCCTAAGGACAGGAAAGCTTTGCAAAATCGGTGGGTTTACGGGTTAAAGACTGAGGAGAATACTTCTAATCCACGATACAAAGCTAGATTAGTTGTCAAAGGCTATCGTCATAAAAAGGGAATTGACTTTGAGGAGATTTTCTCGCCTATTGTCAAAATATCTTCTATCCAAGTTGTTCTTGGTTTGGCAGCCAGTCTTGACTTAGAGGTTGAGCAGATGGATGTAAAAACTGTTTTCCTTCACAGTGATTTGGAAGAGGAAATTTACATGGAGCAACCAGAAGGTTTTGTGGTGAAGGGTAAAGAAAACTATGTCTGCAGATTGAAGAAAAGTCTATATGGGTTGAAACAAGCCCCGAGACAATGGTACAAGAAGTTTGAGTCTGTTATGATTCAGTAGGGATTCAAGAAGACAACCTCAGACCATTGTGTTTTTGTGCAGAAGTTTTCTGATAATGACTTCATCATTTTATTGCTCTATGTTGATGACATGTTGATTGTTGGTTATAACTGTTCTAAAATTGACAGGTTGAAAAATGAGCTTAGTAAATCTTTTGCAATGAAAGACTTAGGACCAGCAAGATATATACTTGGCATGCAGATTACTCGTGACAGAGAGGCCAAGAAGTTGTGGTTATCTCAAGAGAAGTATATTGAGAAAATACTTCAGCGGTTTCATATGGATAAGGCTAAAGTGGTAAGTACACCTCTTGCTTTACACTTTAAGCTTAGTACTAGACAAGCTCCTTCTAGTGATAAAGAAAAAGGAGAAATGCAACGTATTCCTTATGCATCTGCAGTAGGAAGTTTAATGTATGCAATTGTTTGCACAATGCCTGATATAGCTCATGCAGTTGGTGTTGTTAGTCGTTTTCTATCCAATCCAGGTAGAGAACATTGGACTGCCGTGAAGTGGATATTGAGATATCTCCAGAGTACTTCTAGTTTAAAACTCTATTTTGGAATTGGGAAACCTATTCTTTGTAGTTTTACAGATTCAGACATGGCTGGGGATGTTGATTCTAGAAAGTCTACTTCTGGTTATTTGATTACCTTTGCAGGGGGAGCTGTGGCCTGGCAGTCTAGGTTGCAGATGTGTGTTGCATTGTCTACGACTGAGGCTGAGTTCATCACTATTACTGAAGCATGTAAGGAGTTGTTGTGGATGAAAAAGTTTGTGCATGAACTTGGTTTCACTCAA